ACTCTTAGTGCACCCCTTTGTGTGCTGTGTGCACAGTCTTGTTGTAGTTAAGCCTTGACTGTTGTTGGTATCACTGGGAGGAATTGACCTCTAGGTGACTTGGCTTTGAGGATCAGCTGTGTCTATGGTGGGAGAACTTCTGTGCTGGAGACACTCTTATGAGACAAGATTTGCTTCAGTGGGGGTCTGGTGCTCACTGAGTCAGCTCCCTGAGTGTCTCCCTTATGAGGAGTTGTAATCTGGATGGTCCCACTCTGACCCCTGGGTACACTGGTTCTTGGATCTTTAAGAAGGTGCTAATTTAGCGTCTGCCTGAGGCCACCCAGCAGGAGCTACTGGGAGATATACAGATTCCTCTTCTTTGTTTGGGTTTTGGAGGTACCCAGATGAGGCCCAGCTGTGAAGCAATGCAAACTGCTGTGGGGCCTTGAGCCTTCTTTTGGATGTTCTGGGTCTCATTGACTCAGCCACAGTTTGTTAGGTAAGTTTAGAATTCAAAGGATCAGGCCATTCCTATGCAAAAACATCTGCACACAGCTTGGATTGGGTGGAGTCTTAGGGAGGAGTAAACAGCAATGGCTTCATGAGGCGGGATCTCAGGATCGAGCAAACAGCAATGGCTTCCTGTCAGTCCTGCCTTGAGAGGCCTCTGCTTCTCAGTATACCACAGTAATTGTTGCAAGCACCTCTGAGAGAAAGCTGCCCTTGAGTTTCACCTGCTGCCAGACAGTCCATTTTCTCCCTGTATGAGTCTGGGTCCCCAGTGTCTTGCTTGGAACTAGAGTTCAGAGCAGTTGGGAGCTTTAGTCTCCCTTCCGATTGAGAAAGCTAGCCTGGTACTCAGTTGCCAGCCCTCACTGTGTGTGTGCGCACACCCCTCCACACCTCTGCCTTCCACAGCTCCTGTGACTCTCAGTGTGCTTTTCTCTTTCCTACTAGCTGTAGAATTTCCACTCAGCCAGCCTCCCTGTGGTTCTGAATGATGTCTCAATTTAGTTGTAGTTTTGAAATTGTTGTGTGAGGCAGCAGTTCAAGTGTTTACCTATGCTGCCATCTTGGTTTCTCCCTTTATTGCACTTATGTATTTTTAACAACAAAAAAGCAACATGATCTCACATACCAAAACAAAACAAAGGTAACCATGATACCCCCACAGATACTATTTTTCAAAGGCTCTCTGTTGCTTGTAAGATAAAGTTCGCACTCATATTGTGACTCTCCTCTCCCTTTTGGTCTTGTGTTCTTCCCATGTGCCCTGTGATCTAAAAACACCAAGTCAATTGCCATTCATCAAACATGTCATGTCTTTCATCCTGAGATTTGCAATGTTTTCCTCTGCCTGGAATACTCTTCAGAATTTGTTGGCTGAGAATTCCTCATCCTCAATTTATTCATTTGTACAATTGGAAGATAACAGTGTTTACTTCAGAGAATTGCCATGACAACTAATAGGAAAGATCTCCTATAGTGACTGACATACAGAAGCACTCACCAAATGTTAGCTTAGCTATCATTGACATTGCTGAAAGTCTTCCCTGACTTAGCTATTCTAGTTGTGTTAGGCATCTATCCTCTCTAATTCTATATGTCTAATTAACCACATTACATAAACTTCAAAACTGACAAAAGTTTCATATTTTAGCACTTATGATATTACAATAAATCATACAATCTATGACACATCGAGGTTTAACTTCCAGAAATTTTTCTTTCTTAGTAATACTTGTCATAATGTTTCTTACAATGAATGGCATATTAGATGATATACTATACTTAAACTTTATGATAACTGCCATTAAAATTTTATTATTCAGGGTGAATAATGCATAATTATTATGCATGGAAAATCCTATATTTTCTATGAATCAGTGAAATATCAACATAAGAAAAGGGACTATTAATTAGAACTTCATAGAAGCAAAAAAAAAAAAATTCCACTTGTATATCCTACAATTTGGTCAAGCCCCACTCACTCCTGAATCACAGAGGAGTAGTCAGGTGAAGTGCATGCTGGCATATTTTTCAGTTAAGCACCTCACCTGAAAGCCACACAATGGCTCGACCCAGAGCAAAAGTGGGGATGGACTAGCTTATAAAACTGCATTCCCACAAACTAGGATTCACACTGAAGAAGGTAGAATAAAACAGTGAAGAGGAGAGTGAAGGAATAAGATGAGAAAGGTCAAGGGACTATGTCTTCTGGACTAGCACTTTCCAATAGAAATATAATATGAGCCACATATAGAATTTTAAGTTTTTGATGGCCATGCTTAAAAACTAAAAGGAATAGGTAAATTAATACTAGCATTTTATGTTTTTAACCCAATGTATTTAAAATATTATAATTTTATCATATCACCAACACAAGAATCAGAAATGAAATGTGTTTATTTTTGCACCAACTCTTCAAAATCTGCTATGTGTTTTAGCCTTACACACATCTTAAATTGGATTAGCCTCATTTCCACTGCTCAACAGCTGTGTCTGGCTAGAGCCTGCTATTTGTATTGGACAGTACAATTCTACATTGATTTTGACCAACTCAATTAAGTAATGAGATAACAGTAACAGGTTGTTTCAATAGTGGCTCTTTTTATCACAAAATACTAGACATGTTTAAGATTCGAGAAGTATTTACTTATATATTTTAAAATTCTTTATAGGATGGTAGTTTTCCTTTAGAATCTTTTTGTGCTTTGTTTTGGCTGATTTTGTTTTAACTATGACTTGCGGTTATTCTTAATGTCCTTCCCATATCCCCTTAACTATGTTGGTTAGAGAAGAGCTGACTCCTTTATTCAATTAGATCTTTCCCCAACAAGGCAGTCCTTGGGAGACAGCAAGAAGTGTGATTCATCTCAATATTCCCAGAATTTATCGCAATCCCTAATGGAGAGCGAACTCTGAATAATCTAGCTAGACAGTAGTGGTTTTCACCCTGGGCTGCACACTGGAATCATTGGGGCAGGAGTGGTGGAGAGAGAGAAAAATCCTGAGGCCTGGCCCGACCCCTAGAGATGCTGCTGGTAGGTCCAGAGTTTGGCCTGCATGTCAACATTTAAAAAACTTCCCCCAGGTGCGCAGCCAGGTTTGAGAACCACTTTACTAAGGTTTTCTTAGAACACCATTCTGTAACCATATCCTTACCTCTCTGACATAAGGCCCACTTTGCCTCAAGTCAGTTTCCTCTCGGAACAGGCCAGATGTTTCTTGAGAAACCTAGTAGGAAAGATACTAACACAGAACCCCAAAAGGAATTTGCAAATTCCTTTCCCAAGGCACCAAAGAAGATATTCAAGGGTCCAAATATTTTCATATTTATCTTTTTCTAACAAAAAATAAAAATAAAACTCACTATTTAAATTTTAAGAGTCAAGCTGGCTTAAGGAGAAAAAGTAAGGCCACTATAGCACACAGGCAGATAATACCCAGATACAAATATTGCAGAATATGCCAGTTATTGGATAATAGCAATTAAAAATAAAAATGGAATCTAAGTACACATGAGCCTCCTTTCAAGTGAAGTTTATACATGTCAAAAGCAGAAATTCTTAATTGGGGGTCAGCAAAGGGAAGTATTTCATGCTTTTCTTCAGTCCCTTGAGGTTACATTTACATAGTCATAAAGCAATACATTCACTTTGATAAGTCACAGGACACATAAGTGTTAGTGTCACTGCTTGCTCTCATGGCACTTTGCCTGAAAACATTACTTCCATCAATCTGAGGTTCAGCAGTGTCCCAGGGAGAGCTCCGATGTCCACTTCAGCACAAACACGCTCTCACCCAGGAGGAGGGGAAGCGATATCTGCACGAAGGGAGCAGCGGAAATGGAGTTCTTCTGAATCATGGACTGAGTTTCCCTGCCAACCTCCAAGGTGGTCTGTCCATATGGTATGGATTCACCCTGTAATAGTCTTTCTTGATGGTGTGCTATCATGTGACCTTATTAACAAATAGAAACAAGAACATTTCCCCAAATGTCCCTACATGCATTTCCTCTGGCTTTCTAGCAGATACAAAAGCTCCCTCTTATTGCACCACACTTATTTTTTTTTTCCTTATTGAAATGTAATTGGCATATAACATTATATTAGTTTCAGGTGTACAACATAATGATTCAATATATGTATATATTGTGAAATGATCATCATAATAAGACTTTACCCCATTACTCCACAGTTATAATTTTTTTTCTGGCGATGAGAACTATTAAGATCTACTCAGCAACTTTCAAATATATAATAAAGTAGTATTAACTATAGTAACCATGCTGTATATTACGTTCCTGGGGCTTACTGGAAGTTATGCTCCACACTTATTTTTGTTTCACATCTTAAGCTGAATTTGATAGAATAAGAAGTATCCAAAATGCATTAAACTTCCACATTCACTAACAACAATCAACAAAAATCCCCTATTCCTGCCAAAATCATGGAGGAAGAAGCACAACTTGATAAGCTTTCTAAGTAAGTACTGGGTTTTGTGCATATCACTCCCATCTACCAACCCTGAAGGGCTGATGGGTGTCAAATGATTGAATGTGACATTCACCTGGCCCAATGTTCTTTCCTGAAAAGTAGTGGAAAATTTACAATACAAATTCCCAAATTGCTACACTCATAAAACCAGGAAGATAATCACTATCCACCTGACCAGGGTGACTGTGAATCTGAAATGTCTGACTGAATATACTTGGCATGGATATCATTTGTCAGTTAATATGTTGTAAGGATCCTCTTGGGTTCCATGAAGAGACAAAGATAAATTCTCCTTCCCAAGTTTAGAAAAACAAAAGTAATATTAAAATTTACAACATGAAAACAGATTTGAAAGATGATATGAAAATTATAGGACAACTCCATATACATTGAGTGTGTAACCACCATGGGAAGATGGACTCATGGAATCAATGAACCTGTCAGTGGTCAGCCAGGATGCATGGGGAAGGAGGTCCCAAAGAAAAATTGTGGAATGAAGGATGTTTCAGGGCTTCCTACCTTTCTGGAAGAACTCCTCTAGTTTGTCCTTGAAAGGTTGGAGGTACTGCTTTGGAGACTCCTTGCACACCACTGCCATCTGTTTCTCACTTGCTGTGAAGAGAAGTTTGGAATTAGACTTCCCAAGCACATGTATTTACTAAATTCATGCTCTGAGCTATGCATTTGGGGATCGTGTGAAATCCTTCTTGATCACTGTTTATTCAAATTCAAGGGTGGGAGGGAAGGGAGCAAAAACAAAAACAACAGGAACAAAAGTAATTAGCTCACTCTACACCTTTCTTCAGGAACTAGCAAATGTATCTTTAATTTTCCTTTTAGAGATGCTGCAAAACTTCTGGCTTGGGATGGCGAAGTACTCTGCTTTTGGTCTCTCAAAAATAGATGCAAAAAACTACTGAAGAACTGAGGGCCCTAATTCTCTTCAGATCATACTCCAAAAGTAGGGTTTGAAATTGATTTTACAGAAATCCTCAGGTATTCCAGTTGCCTTAAACTACAAAACTGTCTATTCCTCAGGGTGACATCCATATCCTAGCATGAGAAACTAAGCCCAGGTAGGGAGAACCACATCTCTTTTCATGCTACCCTTCTCCTTTACATTCTGCTAACATATGTGAAATCATTTTATTTGTGACTTATGTCCCTACATTCCAAATTCTTAGAAAGGGAATAGTCGTTATTGGAAATAAAAATCTTGATAAATTCTTGGAGTCAAGCATTCCACCATCCCCAAATGAGGACTTGGTTGTTATCCAATATTCTGACTTCAGGGAAATGGCATGTTGTCTTTCATAAGAGATGAAGAAGGATTTTGATCTGTTTCAGGAGAAGAGATGGACATGGAGAGAAAAGGGTAGCAAGAGAGAAGAATAATTTATTTGGAGAAGAATGGCCTCTGGGGCATCTCTACTGCTTTAGCAAAGCCTCCTGAAATCACAGTGTTTGCTTTGAGTGAATGTGGGCTGTGGGCACCAAATTAGGGCTTAACTTTTCACTGAGTTTGGAACTAGTGCAGAACAAACATACCTCACAAGGAGGCAGAGGTGCCTTCTCCTATGCACCCCTCTAATCCTTTTTCCTTCAAATCTTATAGATAGTTCTATTTTCCTACAGAGATTGGATTTGGGCATAAATTATTCTTAGATAATAGGAGATAGGTTGGTTTCTAACCCTACAATGCAAATATATGGGTTACACAAACACTCATATATTCAAAGTATTCATTGAATATCTGAACTATGCCACTGTGCTAAATGTTGGGGAAAAATATTTAACCAGATCTATTGGTCATCTCTCCTCTAAAAACATTAAGTGTCTAGTCACAGAGAGACAAGGAAATCAACAAATTGTAATATAGTGTGAAATTATGGGATACTGAGTAGGGGCTTCCAATTCAGATTGGGATTGGGTGGTGGCCAGGGAAGATTCTCCAAAAAAGATAACATAAGTCGAACTGCAAAGGTCAAAGAAGAGTTAGCCAGCCAGACAAGGGAATAAAAAAAAGTGGGGAGTAATTTCAAAAGAGAGGAAATATACTGAGTAAAGAATTAGAGAAATGCATAGGTCTTTTGGGATAAGTTAAATGGTAATAGTATGACTGCAACTCAAGACATGGACCTTCTTTCTTTCCCATGTCTACAGTTTCCTGCGTTTAGATTTTGATTCAAAGGAACAAGATTCAAGGAACTGGACTTAAAGGAACTGGATCCAAAGGGATTGCAACTACTCTGATTAGGGAAGAGAGGTCAGATAAGGCCACAGAAGTAGGAGACATATAATTTTAAATAACGTGAAAAGTTCCCCTCTGAAAATATTTGAATAGATACTTCACCAACGAAAAGAAGGAAGCCATGAATAAGTTTGAGGGGGAAAGTCAAGAGTTATTTATGATATGTTAAGTTTGAGATGCCAATTAGACACTCATTATATACAAAACTCTACAGTTTAGGCTGCATGGCTGGGATAGAAAAACATTTCAGGAAGTCACATGCATAAAATTGGTATTTAAAGCCACAAAAATAGATGAATTGGTAGGGAAAGAATGTAGCCAAAGAAGAGAAGGGTTTTCAGGACAAACCCTGAGGCGTGTAAGCAGCGGAGGAGAAGCCAGAAAAGGGTAGGGAGTAAGTGGAAGTATGGAATCACACGATCTGAGAGGAAGCCCATATTGAAAGAAAGAAAGAGCAGTCAGCGCTGTGCAATACTGTTGAAAGATCAAGTGGAAGACAGAAAAGTAACCATTGATTCTAGCGGCATAGAAGTCATGGTCATCTCAGGAATAATTTTGGGGAGTGAGGGATGGAGGGAGGAAACCAAATTGGAAATGGGAAAGGTAAGTGGAGACAGATTCTACAGCCATTTGTTTAAAAAGTTAAGCCAGGAAAAGAAGAGCAAAATGAGGAACATCCTTCTACCCAAGAAGATGTTCTCTGGGGTTACTCCAATTCAGAGTGGGTGCCCCTTTCCCCAGAGGAATGTTGTGTAAAAATAAACCCACCAGGGAGCCTGAGCTCAGGGGAATCCCATGACGCTGATTCACTTCACAGAGGGAAGCCGCCTACGATGAAATTCACCTTAACGTCCCATAATCATGAGCATTCTCCATGAAAAAATTTAAGCAGAAGTGACAGGGCCAAGTGAGGACATGCCAACATGCTTTAGGACTTTTGGAAAGACTTGCGAAGCTGGGCCACCGACTACAGCCTTTGCACGGAACCATCTAAAGCGCTATTCAAAGATCCCTCCTATCAAACATCACAGCTGAATCAGAATTTCCACTGTGATGATTATGTGGTTATAGACGCAGCCTTGATCTGCGAAACATTAGCATGAAAAATACTCATTAATCACCTACTCATGACTAGGCCTAGATGGATGGGTTGGGAATGATTTGATTTATAGGGTGCTAAGCAATTCATCTATTTATTTAAAAACATCCTTGGTTGCATGAAAATCGCCATCATCAGAAGCATTCCCTTGATCAAAAGATGCTAACTTCAGAAGATCTCCTTAGAAATACATATATATGTTAAAAATAAAAATATTAGCAAAGAAGAATTTATTAACACTTTAGTAAACATTTATTTCTGAGACCTGTTTGGTAAATGCTGGGTCTCAAACAATAGACAGAAAAGTTGTGTTAAAAGGAACATTCCTGTGGATTCTGATCTCTAGATAGACTGTATAATAGGAAGCCTTGGGCAGATAGCTCCAAACATGAAGTTCCTGTGCATCTTAGGGAGAACAGCATTAATTTCTGAAAAGTATTATGAAGGTAATACAAAGAAATGCAAAAGGCATTTATAAAAAGTAGCAGGAAACAATTCATGATTCCACGACTAGGACAGTTGCCATTTCATACTCTGGTACCTGTTTTTTATGTCTCAGCATCACACAGGCCCTCCATAATTTGATAGGAGTTGCCTTTATATGTTTTTTTTTTTTTTTACACTTCCATTTGATAGAGAAATTTGTGTACCTTATTCTTTCTACTAATCATATCATGCACACTTTCTCATATTATTTCACAAAATTCACAAGCATTGCATTTAACAGCCATATAAAATTTCACCCAGTTGTAAGTGTCCTAATTCACTGAAAAATTCCCCTGGAGTTGAATAGTAGAATCCTTTCTAATTTATTCTTAGAGTGAATCATTCAGGCTTTAAGTAATATCAGTGCCCAAGAAATTCTTATTCTGAGTTTAAGATTACTTCTTTAGGATAGATTTCAGAAGTGGAATTATGGGTAAAATAGAAAAAAAAACCTTTTAGAATTCTTGATACAAACTGCTTTTAGTATAACATGAATTGTACCAAAATGAGGAAAACAAAGGACAGAGATTTTGAATATAAAACTGTGGCTTCCCTACTGCTTTGCAGAGGTGGCTAGCTACATACAAGCTGGAACTGTGCCTGTCACTGTACATGGGGCCTGTGATCCTTGCACTGAAGTGAGCAAACTCTAGAAGAGCAAACATAGAGATGACCATCCATGCAATGAGGCAATTTATTCAAAGGCGAAGACATACAAAAGTGGATGCAAGATAATGTTGGGTTAATTAATTACAGGGTAAGACTAGGTTTGAAGCCTGTCCCTGAAAGTGGCCTTTTTGAAAGGTCTTAGGAGTGACATTTAATTTGAATGTACACTGTCAATACCAATGGAGCTATCTGAATTTTGGGAAGGTCTACTGTAGATTTAAAATTTATATCAAATGCTCAGATTTAAACACATATACATATATGCATATAAATTGGTTAATCTCTTCTCAGAACCCCTTCCCTCTGAGATCTGTCAGTCTGTGGCATGCTTCCATGCCTCTGGACCTATTTGTTCATCAGTTAATTTTGTTCATTAGATTGCACATAAAAGTGAGATCATGTGATATTTGTTTTTCTTTGACTGGCTTATTCCATGGGGAATAGTGTGGTGAAGGCCTGGGGTTGTGTGGGAGCAGGATAGAGTGGGAAAAAGGGGGATAACTGTAATACCCTCATCAATAAAAATAAAAATACATATACATTTATATACTTAGAAATGCATAATTTTAAGATGCTCAGACCTGTGGATCAACAATATCAAATAAAGACATGGACACATGATTACAATTCAATCCATTTTGTGAAGAACAGATAAGAGCCTACATTTTGGGGCAACCAAGTGAGCATTAATTTAAGAAGTATTTTTAGAAAAAATCAGTGGGTAAAAATTAAGAGGTTGCTGATGGAATCAGCAAAGGCAGAGAAAGCAAGGCCCTATTGGCTAAGATGCCTCATTCTCATAGAAATGATATTAGAGGTCAAGCAATTCATCCTATCGAGCACTCAAACCAGGACAGTGGTTTTCTATTGGGAATGCTTAAATAAAAAAGACTTCCTCTGGAGCCAAAGTGCCTAATGCATGGCAATTTTTACTAAAATTAAATGATGAATTTCCTCATATATGTAAATCTTGAAGGTGACAGGCCTGTCTCCAGTATATGATCTAATGAAATGGGTAAGTGGAAGAGGTAGCAATGCTGATTTGGGGATTATTTCCTTCCAGCAGTGCAACAGCTGGCTAAAAAGAGACCAGTGATTGAGATACAT